TCAAGTCTTGCATAAAATCTTCCCTATTTTGGAAATCTATTGAATGCCTGGAATTGTGCACAAACATGAAGGCTCATTTAGAAGGAGGGATAACAGATTTCCCAAAATAATGTCTATCAAACTAATCGTTTCCAGTCACTTTGAGTAAATCGCAGGGACAAACTTTTAAACATGTTAAAGTTGACTTAAGAGAAGACCTTTTTTCCCCAAAGACTACCTATATGTTGCTTTATTTAGATCAGGTTGTGGTAAAAACCAATCTACACTAGTACCACAAAGACAAAAGACTAAAAAAAATATCGTTTTAGATGACATACGGTAAGTTTTCTTTAATTTATTTAAAACTTAGTGTTTTTAAAAAAATTACTTAGACTCACAGTTTCCATCCCCAAACAGTAAAAGGGAGTGACATTATTTAATTTTTTTTCATTTAATGCTGTGTACGGGCATCAGCATACTAGTATAATATAATAATATGAACAAATAAATACAATAATATTATAATAAAAACTTGCCATTATATAGGTGTTGACTAAATAAACACTTTTAGATTAAAAATGAAAATAAAACTTAAAACCAACGCCACTCCATATCATTAGACTACAATATTAAATAAATAAATGTAATTTTAAGAAAAACTTTTTCAAACCCGTACTTCAAAACTTAAAGTAATATAATTAACATTAATTAATTCATTAGTAATGTTAATGTTACTGTTCGTTAATACATTTTTCAATTGTCAACAACTATGATAGATAAGGACTAGATAAGGACTTGAGGTTTAAGTGGTTTCAGACCATCGTCATCATACGGTCATCGCGAAAATAACGATAACACTGGAAACGAACTAACAACAGCACGATCACGGTTATTGATAGAACTGAACACATCTCAAGATATTTTATTGCCGTGGTGGGATAAAATCATTCAAAAGACTCAATGGAAAATTTAGTAATTACGGGTAAATCAGCCACCGTTGCGCCATCTCCTAGTTATTGTTAATTACATACACGATTCTCTACATCGTGATTACATTATTACTCAATAGATTATATACATACAATTATGGTTACTTTATTCGTAGGTATAATAATATGTATGCGTTGTATTTAGATAAATTTATGTAAAATATATGTAACTAACACTATTACAATATTATACATAACAGATATTAATTTATACCAAAATACAACTGGTAGATAGCGCTACAGTGCTCTTCATCTTTTTGTATCAATAAAACTTTTGATCTAATGGGTATAGTATTTAGGTACCTATATTTTATTGAATTATAGTTACCATGACGAAATAAAGCCGTATAACCAATAACCCTAAGTACTAACATTTGTTTGAAATTCTATACTTATTGGTAAAAGTTGCGTATAACAGTTACGTAGCGAAGGCTTCCTTGAGAGACCTCTGAGCTTTTTGGTAGATATGAGGGTAGGTCGTGGGTGTCTAATTTATATTTGATAAAAATTATTATAAATTTAAATTATAACATTATTAATTATTGTTAAATACAGCGGAATAGTTACAGGAGAGGGCGATGGTGGAGATATATCCCCCCCCACAGCCTTTTAATAATGCTATACCCCTTGGTATTCAAATTTGCAATCGAAATCGATTCTGATTGGAGTAGTATTAGTCGTGTTTTTATTTTGTAGCTAAATAAACCAAGAATCGACAAGAACAAAACCTTTGTATCGTCATTTGTTACCTATAAACTGTTTCAAAGAAAGTGCGATTAGATGAAAAATCCGCATCTTTTAATCTTTTAAAATAGGTACCTAGATACGATTTATGATCGTAAATCGTGGAATTCATGATTCAACTGGAAATCATTGCGCCACTGGAGAAGTTATAATAACAATAATAATAAATAATAAAGATCTATTAGTCTATATCTAAGACTGGCGAAATTACCAAAGTTTTTGAAAAAGTAATTTTTTTATTTCGAGGGTTCGTTATGGTACTCAGTTTCTTCAGCCTTATCCTCCTTTTTTCATATCTATACAGGAGTCCCTAAAGATAATGATTTTTCTCCTGATCTCTCACATTCATCTTACAATCCGTTTACATCCTGACATCCCCCAAACTGAAAATGTCACCTTGTATAGGTTTTACTATGATGTGTGCATTTTATTCTTTAATCTGTCTATGAACAATAGAATTTCCGACCAGAAATCTTGGTCCGACCATTAACTATAGGTGCCTAGTATATTTTGTAAAAGTAATTTTTGTCTAGTTAGAGTTATAAGTGTTTTAAGTTCAAATTTTGACGGAGAGAGTAAAAACCACGGCATTTAAAAACGTCTTTAACCGACTTCAATAATTGCACATCTAATTTTAAATGATAAATAGATAACTCTTTCTTACTTATCCGGTCTAAACTTTAAACTGTTATAAATCATAAAACGTGAATCTGATATTAGTGTTATTGTATATAAAAATATCTTGAAAAATATTCTTTATTCGAATCTGTGTTCAAAAAAGGAGGCTCCTATTTGTAAAACAAAAGTATATACTTACTTAAGGTGCCTACATGGAATAATGGTAAAAAATTAAAAATAGTTTTAAAGTAAAACTGAAACGATTTAATAATGCTTAAAAAAAAAAACAGAAATTAAATGTATTTATGCCGGCCGCACACCAAAATATCAAATTTGTGTTAGACAATGTTAGTCGTGTTCGTATTAGTCAACTAAAAATAATTTATTTTTGTAAAGTGCACACTACCTAGACAAAACATCATAAGAATTAGACAAAACGAAAATCAGCCGTCAAGATGTCATTTAACGAAGATGTTATAATTATTTGTATTTAGTACACATTAAACAATTCAGAAGAAATGATAAAAAAAAAAAAAAATTGTGGATTCACCTGTAAAATAAAAAATACATCACTCATAGTGTATAATTTTATCCTCAATTTGCTATCTGCGTTCGGACGAAAGAAAATTTAAAAATTATACATAGATATGAAATTTGGGACTTGGTATGTATAATATCAGTATTAACATAATAGCTATAGTACAGGTGGTTTTCAATCTTTTTAACAATGTAGCACACTTATTCTCCCACAAAATTTTCGCGGCACACCAATTCATATAATCCGTGAAGTATATATTTTTTTGCGTATACTATGCGTATACATACCAAAAGTTGTGCTTGTCCACTTATGTCAGTTGACTCGTCTAGTTGTAATGCAAATAATGGAGAGTCACGGGATTGTTGCAATACTTGTTCTTCGATATCTTCAGACATGTGTTCTATGCGTCTACTAATGGTGTTGTCAGATATTGGAATTTTCAATACTTCTTTTTCAGCTTCTTCGCCAAAAAGAACTTTTACGATTTCACGGCAAGCCGGTAAAATAAGTTTTTCCGCTATAGTATGCGGTTTCATTTGTTTAGCTACGAGCTCTGCTACTAGATGACTAGCTTCTTGAGTTTTATCAGATATGGTCACTATTTTTATCATTTTTTTCAGATTGCCGTGTTTCTGATTTTGGTAAACGTTGAAAATATGAAGCATTTTTATCAACCAAATGAGAATGCTTGGTGGAAAAATGGCGTTTTAGTTTACTCGGAACCATTGATTCATTTGATAGTTTGTCGCCACATACAAGACACCATGGACGGGGGATCGTCTACATTTCCGGATCAAGAAAATCCTATGTTTAAATAATCTTCATGATATTGACGTCTTATATTTAATTTAATTTTCTTCTTTGGTTTTTCACTCACTGAAGTGCTGTCAGTTGAACGAATTATAAATGCGTCCATTATGAAAAAAAAAAAAAAAATTAAGTATTATTTAAAATATACCGCGTAGGACAAAAGTCATTAAAAACACAATATCCCGCGACGCGGAGGTAAAACGATCGGGACGGCTGCGACGGGCAGACTAATATTAAATACTATTATAGTATTATACGTATCTATTGATTAATGATTAGCCTGATTCTTTTATATTTGTTAGTAATCAGTTTTCATCGAATATTGATAATAATACTGGTAAATACGAAAATTTACTCTATTAGTAGATTTATCTTATCGCGGCACACCGGTTGAAAACCACTGCTATAGTAGGTACCTATATAATTGTTTACAATTATATAATTACATTTTTTTAATATTAAAATTTTCATCAAAATTAATTTCTTCCCATGACTTGTCTTGAATTCAATTTTACAGTGGCGTATTTGAGGGAGGGGAGGGTGATGGGGACAAAATTAATTTGTGTGGGTATTTGATGTACCTATACATTTATGCTACATATATATACAAAAACATTAAATTTTGTTAGAAAAGTGTCATCAGACACAAAAACCCGCCCTAAGGTAATGAGGACGGTTGCAGCCACTACGTAGTTTAATGTACGTAGTGTTGCTTTGTCAACAATATATATGTCGGATCATGGTAAATAATTACATATGCATTAAACATTTTCTTTAACAATATTTGTTTAATATTGTACCAATTTTCCCGTTCTCCCGGTTTTTTTTTTTTACAATTTATTGGGAAAACTCTTGGGGAAAATCAAAAGATGACCTCCATAAAGCAATTTCCCAATCAGATTTCCTTTTAAAAAAAGTGCTATCATTGTATAACTATAAGCTTCTTCGTTCCACTCGGAATCTAAAATAAAATAAAAACACCTTATTGTAAGATAAATACCATTATATGCCTGTGTAGGTATAATAATTTTAATGCCTTTTTTCCCCCCCCGCAAACTCATATTACCAATTATATTTTTTTTAAATATTTGTTTTTTTTTTTTATTAAACAAGATCCGTGGCTACTTAGCCATTGCACGTTACAATAATAATTAATAATCAATATAATTAAGTAGGTTTGTTTACACGTTTACAATATCTTTGACAACTGATATATATTTGTTTCATTTTAATCTGATAATAATAATTCCAATGTTGCTAATTCCTATCACACTATCACAAATGATTTATGAAGTATCCATAACTTCATAAGCTACTATTCATATGCGTTACAACGTTAATACTATTTGATTTATAATGTTTTTGAAATGTAATGAAACATGAATTAAACTTTAAAGTAAATATTTATCTTTTGGAATGATACAATGACAGAAATGAGTACCGAGGTGGTGAACATGACCGACAACGGAGATGACGACCAGTGGTTGTATGGAGATTCAAATTCAAATCCTCCTGGTATATCTGTTGAAAATGGTAAATCACCAACTAAATTAGTTGGTGTTGTAGAAGATGAGGTAAATTTGTTATAAAATAATTATTTAACAGCTAACTAGAAAATAAACATTTTATTTATAGGAAGCTCGTCTTATGGAGTTTTTGGCAAATCCTGGACCAGGTAATATTTTATGTTATCCATTTATTTTGAGTACTAATATTTTGTATTATAAATATATTATGTTAATTTTTAAGACCTAAAATAGTTCTTCGGAATACATAGTTTAACCTACAAAATTGTACTGTTTTACAACTAGAAAACTTGTTCCACTGAAAAATTTATTGAAATTTATAATGTGTTAAACTTATTACTTAAGACGTAAACAAACTAATTTAAAACTATTTATTAATTAATTTTAATTTTATATTTTATGTTAAAGGAAGTATAGATGGGTTAACTCCTATAAAAAAAGAATTAGATAATGGTGATCCTAATCGACCAAGAAGTCCAGAAACATTTTTAGGAGGAGCAGTAATCCAAAATGATCCTCTAGATAAACCAACTGACATGAATAATTTAGTAACTTCAACTATAGAAGAAGACATTATTCCTGAAAAATTAGCTGAGCAGAATAATGAAGACAAACAAATGTCATCTGAAGATAGTGAAGAAGATAGTGATGATGACATTGTTGTAGCATCAGGACATTTTACACTGTCTTCGATGGAAAACAGTGCACCAATTTTACCTCAAAATAATGCAAGCCCATCAACTGCTGGAATAAACTTAAAACGAAATAATTTATTAACATTAACAAATATTCAAGGAATGTCATCTGGAAATAAAGTAATTAAAACATTTTAATGAATTATTTTTATTATTTGTACCTTTAAAAGTAATTAAAACATTTTAATGAATTATTTTTATTATTTGTACCTTTCTCAGTTTTTGATAATCAACTTTTTTTTTAAATTAAATTAAATTGATTCTTATTTTTAGAATCAAGGAAAATTTAATGTCGAAGATTTTGAAAGTATAGGTACTATAAATGGTGTTCCTGCTCATGAATATTCAATTGAAACTACCGAAGAAAAACCATGGTTGAAACCTGGTGCAGATATCACAGGTACTTTTGTTAGACTTTTTGCTAAGCTGAGATATTCTCAGCAAAATGTAATGGTTTTACCATAAAATTGGTATGTTTTTTTTTTTAATTATCTTAAAACAACTTTTCTATCCAAAATCTGGCTTCAATTTAAAATTGTTGTTAAATTAGGGAAGTTATTTTTTGATTTTCCGAGTGATTTTCATAATAATTGTGAAAAACTAGAAAAAAATGGAAAGGAATCGGAAATAATAAGAATTGTAATGAAAATAAACATAGTAGGGAAGAGGAGAAAAGGAAGACCGAAAAAGAGGTGACTGGATGCAATTGAGAATAATGTAAGGACAGTCGGTGTATGTGAGGTGGGAAATCAGGTTAAGTGGAAGTTAAAACGGGATTGGCTGGATATTAGCTGGGATGAAGGTGAAGAAGAATAATTAAATTTAGTTAATATTATTATCAATTATAATTAATTGAAGTTTGATTATGGAAGTAATATGTACATAGAAAATATTAAAATGTTTTCCATTAAGTATTTTATTAATTTAAAATTTTGATTTTTAGATTATTTCAATTATGGTTTTAATGAAAACACATGGTTAGCGTATTGTGAGCGTCAAAGAAAAATGAGATGTAATGAATCTTTAGTGGGAATGGCAACATTGGCTATGCATAATCAACAAGTTCCTTCTTCTTTAAATATTGCAAATAATAATATAATTCCAACATTAGAAATTAAATCAAATATCAAATTTCAAGCGCCAAATGTTCCTTCACCTAAGGAAAATACGATTGAAGTATGTATTAATAGTACAATTAATGATATTTTAACTAAGTGTCTAACAGAAATTTCCTAATATTATTTAAGTGACAGTAATAATTAAAATTCCATTTCTTTATAATTTTAAATATGTATTTTCAATATCATAGTATATTAAATAATTTACTTTCATCTTAATTTGTATTAATTTATGTATTAGGTTATGACTGCAGAGAGGAGAGAATACAGCCGTAAGCATTTTTCAACTCCTGATTTGTCTATACCTCCACCAATAATTCCCACAAACTTTGATGTTCCCCCACCAATGATTCCGAGCTCAATAAATTCTATCCCGCCACCTGGGTAAATATAAATTTTGGACTTTAAATCAATACAATAACTCCTATTTTTATATTTTTAAATTAGATTTGGTCCTCCACCGATTAATGTGCCTTATGAACCAGAATACTATCCTCATGAACCAGATCCATACTATAATACATTTGAACCCACTCAAGATATGCAATGGAATCAAGTAACTAAATATTTGAATAAGTTTTATTTAAACTTTTAATTTACTATCAGTCATATATGTAACTTGGGATCACAAATTTATTTTATGTGGTACATTTTTAAATGCCCACTTACATATATTAACTTATAACCAGGGCTTGGATGTTCTTGACTTTTCGGGAGTGTCTTACATTTATGCTTTGCTCCCTAAAAATGTATTTCAAAATTTAATAATATATTAATCAAAGCTTTAATTTTTATTTTTCAACTATCAACATTTTTATTTAATTTTTTTTGTATTTAAGTATAAACACTATACAGTTTTTGAAAATTATAAGTATAAATAATACATTACTAGAATTATAAAATTAAACAAATATTTATCACATAGATAATGTTTCCTAAGAATTCTAAAGAATAAAGCATTTTACAAATTTTAATTCATATTTAACTATTTCCACTAATTATTTGACAATTTTAACAAACATATATAAAAAAATTCTAGATCAAAATCAATATTTCATGATTTAATTTTTAATCTTTTATTCAATTATTTTAAATTTTAAATTTTATGTTTGAACATTATATTTATTATTGTAACAATTAGTAATTTAAAAAATCTATACTTCCCATCATGGGTTACCATAGGTGGGAAGAAGTGAAAAGGATTAGGATATTTTTTTTTTTTTTGTTAACAGCCCAAGGGATGGTTGGCAGCAATTCTCCACTCCTGACGCTTTTCCGCTTTCCTTTTTAATTCGTAATAAGATCTGCAGTCCATATCTCTTACTACTTGACTAATGTAGTCCAGTGCAGTCGCCCTCTGCTGTTATTCCCTTCAATGGCACCTTCTATTATCCTGCTAAGNTCTGTCCAACTTATTCTAAGTAGTCTTCTATAACACCATGTCTCGAACGCTAAGAGTCTTTTTTCTTCTGTTTTACCTATGGTCCATGTCTCACTTCCATACAGTGCTACGCTCCAAAATTATTAGTTATTTGATCTTAATTTATTATTTGTTGTTTTGTTATTTGTTTGTTGGAAATTTAAAAAATTTTATATATTAAATATTATTATCTGCATCTTTTAAAGTACATTTGAATAATTTAGTGCATTTTAATTAGAAGAAAAATTGTTTTCCAAGAATCTAAAAATAATAATTTCAAAAATATTTGTAGATAATATTTTATAGATTTTTAAGAATATCAACATCTGGGTCCTAATTATAAACTAGCATAGACATAATATCATATAACTTAACCATATTATAATAAAACCTAATTAGGCACTACATATTCATTTTATATAGTTATTTGTTATATTTATTAAATTAATTAAGATTTACCTTTATTAGAGTTGGAATTCAAACATTAAAAGTATAGAGAACATTCCTACTCTTTCAAATGGGGATTCATACAATAAAGCAAGACCGGTAATGCTAATTATTGTTTTATAATAATATAATACATAAATTACATGCAGGTAATATATAATATCGCAAATTTATGCATTTCACAGGATTTGGTAAGAGATAAAGAATATTATGCTGCACGTGTTAAAAAAGAACCAGAAGATAGAGTTTATGAAAGAGAACGTGAGGGTAGAAATCGATATCGTGAAAGAGATCGTGATAGGGATCGTGATCGTGAACGAGACAGAGAAAGGGAACGTAGTAGACATAGAGAAAGGTAAGTTATTGTTTAGTATTGAATATGAGAAAATAATAATTATTTGAAATATTTGCTATTATATATTAAATTGTAAACACAAATTTAGTGATGGTGTTGAAAGTCCAGAAACAAGTTATAAAGAAGAGAGGGATTATAAACATAAGTAATAATTATTTAATTTAGAATTAGTTAATATTTTTTTTTTAAATCATCATATTTTCACCAGGTCACATCGTCATCGTTCTCGAAGTCGTAGTCATGAAAAACGTTCTAGGAAACATAAATCTCGTAGTAGAAGTGGGTCTAGACATCGTCATAAAAAGAAGAAAAAGAAATCTGATAAGAACAAGGAGGATGATAATAGTGAATAATTTATATTGTTTTTTTTTTTTTTTGTCTTGGTGTAAATTTAAATGGTTTTTTTTTAATTATGTTTATTAATATTATTTACTCTGAATTTCTTTGAGTTATAATAATAATTAAAATCCATAATAATCAATTTTGGATTGGTTTATAATACGTGTTTACTTTATGTACATGCTCGAACAAATTAAATTGATCATTTCACTTATATTTTCCAATAAATTACTGTTGAAGTAAAGAATTAATTATTATGATACATTATTTAAATTTAAAATTAACAAATATGACATTTTTTAACTTCATAATTTTTTTTAAATGCTAAGGTTATTGAGCGGACGTTACAATAACATTATTTATTGTCTCTACATTCCTCCAACAGGCTATATAGCTAAAATACATTTTTGGAATTTCAATGATTCTTTGGTTTTGATTGATTTTAAACAAAAATTATATTTCACTAAATAAAAATACAACAAAATTTATTATGTTTTCATGGTAAGATTTTAGATTTGGTGCATAAGTGTGGAATGTATTGACTTTACAACAATATTCATTTTTTTTTCTTTTTTATTCTGTGAACAAATTTTCTGCTAAAAATTTTGCTCTGATTGTAGCACCTTTTCTGAAAAAATTTTTTTTATACCTTTTACTTTATGGAGGTTATTTTTTGATTTTCAATTTTGTTTTATTGTTGTAATTCAGTTAAAAATATTAATAGAGACTTGGTAATATTTTTAAAACGTTTGAGCCATTTTTTGAACTTTTTATAGACATTTTTATTTTTGAATTTTTTAGATAATTTGTATTCATTATGTACTCTGTGTATGATGGATGCAACTGTAAGATATAAACAGAAAATAAATGCTTGAAAATTCAATAGGAGGTTCATTATAGTCGTACTTTGTGGCCAAAAAAACAAAAAAAACAAATTGTTTACCAAATTTTGATGAAAATCATAAATATTGTGTCCTTTTAAAAATCTGAAATCATTTTTGCTAGTAAATGGGTTATCATTACGTTCAAATACAAATTAAATTCTCCATATCCTACTCCTCTCCTAATTTCTCACATACAACAGTGGCCCACCTGTCTTGCAAAGTATGTTGATCTTTTAATTTTGTTAAGTTTTTGTATTTTTGAGCAACTTTTTTACCATAAATTTTGCTCCGATTTTCCATGATGACATTTTTTTGAAAGGAAATGTAATTTAGGTGATACTTAAGGAAGGTCATTTTTTGATTTTTCCAATAAATGGGGAAAACAGGAAAATAGGTACAATATTAAATAAATGTTATTAAAGAAAATATATAACTCCTATATAATTATTTTAACATAATATAACATATATATATATTGTTGATAAAGCAACACTATCAAGTGGCTGCAACCATTCCCATTATCCTAAGACAACTTTTTTAATATCTGTTTCCCAAATAATTATTCATAATTAAAAATTAAAAAAAAAAAAAAATTAAAATATGAAAAAATCCCTCTGTTAACATAATACATTTTATTGTCTTTAATATAATGAAATTTAAGTTTTATCGAAGCCAAACTTCTATTAAAATTCTAAACACAAATTGTGTTATATTATCTGTTAGAAACACCTGTTACATTTGTATCATCTTACGTACAACTCCATTAAAAACAAACTTAAATGGTTTGAAAATGTATGGACCATATAATATACATTGTATATACCATACTTACCTTTATTTAAAATTGGTACTTTTCAAATATTGTTCAGTCACTTGCTCAATTCACAGTATTGTTTAATTGAATACAATTTATTATTAAATACTGTAAATTGACATTTATTTTAATATTCTTTCCCATTTACTATTTAAAATCTTAAAAAATAAAAAAAATTTCTTTTAAATTTAATAAGGCACTGACAATTAACACTTATTTTAGAATGTGACATCCTTTTGATTTGAATTGTGGCTACTGTCACCACTGGTGATAAAAAAAATAACAAAACAAGTGATTTATTTAAAATGACACTTTCTTCTATGATAAATAAAGTATTGATAATATTATTTGAGTTCTTCAAATATGATTTTACTTATCATTACTTGGGGGGGAAATGCAGAAGTGCAGATTATAATAAAGAGTTCTGAGGTCATATATTTGTTTGATAGAGGTTATATATGACAGCTCAAAAAAAGAAATGTGTGGAATAACTAGTTTTCGGGGCTAGAGTAGGTTTGTATCAGGGGTTAGCCTTAAGTCCTTACTTATTTTCTATCAAAATAGATAAAATAATGAAGGAAATATAATATGAAGTACCATGGTTCATGATATGTGTCAATGATATAGTTTTTATAGGAGAAAATCTGGAAGAAGTTAATAATAGGCTTAGGGAATGAAGAGTAGTATTTGAAAATGAGTGCAGTAGAGAAAAGAATGTTTAAGTTGACTAGTCACTAATGGAGTGACAATAGAAGATAAGATAAGGGATGAGTACATAAGAGGTTGGTAACTTACATGTAGTTTCATTAATAGACAAAATGAAAAAAAAAAAAAGATTTGGGCATGTCATGAGGAGATGGGAAACAGAAGCAGTGAGAATTATAATGAAAATAGAGGAGAAAGACCATAAAAGAGATGGTTGTGAAATCTATGATCGATAGATCTATAGATCCATCCATAAAAGAGATGCAATTGAGAATGATGAGAACTGCCCAACCCCAAATAGTTGGGATGAAGGCAAAGGCAGAGAAAAATCAGTAGTGGGTCTATAGTAAGGACTTTATAACTGGTTACTAAAGAAATATGTATTTTGCTATTCTATGAACTTAGAAAAAAAATTAAAAAATAATTTACTCGAAACCAGGTGCATTTTTTTTTTATACTGGGAAATTATTAAATGAGGTCTATTTTTAAACACAAATTCTTAACACTCATAAATACTTAAAAAAACTACAAAACTAAACTAGGTAATTTAAGTCATTAGGAATAGGACAGAATGAAAATGTGTATAAATAGATCCACTTTGAAATATCTGTATTATAACAAACCACTTAATCTGATTAGTACAGACTGAATGAATCTTTACTAATATAATGGTCTGTAAAATTAAAGAATTTTTGTTTTTCAGGAAACTATCCTTTTCGGAATAATGGAGGTAATCACAAATAGTAATGTAACACATGAATTTAATTGTGAATTATAAAATGAACACGGGGTGTATTTTTTTAATTAAAATAGTATCTACTCTTAATTTATTCATTTTCTTCAATAATGTATATTGCATGCATTGGTTTTTATGATATACTATAAGATAGTAAATTATAAAATTAATGGATATATTTGCAGTATAGTTTCTTTAAAATATTTTCACTATAAGATCAAGATGAAAACAAGCATTTTAAAACTACACACATTGTATCAATATTTATAATAATTTAAATTTATTATAATTAACAGTACTAAATATTATATAAATTATACTAGAAAGAACATGCCAAGTTTCTGCTTTATTGGTAAAGCCTTTAACTATAGTATGTATCTTAGAACATATGGTCTAAGATAGGTTAGATACTGATGGTATTAATGCTGTTAAAATCATAGACCTATCATAACTGATAGGTTTATAGTTTACATTTGCATTAAATTATATTCTTTTTTAATTTTTACTAACAGAATTAGTAATTTTTTATTTTTATGATTCATATTTAAAAATTTTGTTATTGTACTTAAATGGTAAATGATTTAGAAAATTAAGTAATTTATTTAGCTGTTACTAAAATGAAAATGTGAATCCCATAGCTATGTTATTTTAAATACCTACTTAAATTAAGCTTCTACAAATCATAAACATAATACTAATGTACAGGTCCATAATATTAGGAAGTATATAAATTAATTTTTCCTTTTGAGCCAGTAACCTTTAACCTGGCTTGACCTAATTGTCAACAGCTATTATAATACTATACAATTTGAAATTTTATTTGAAACTTAATTAACTAGGTAAAATATTGTCTTCATTGTCTTCTTTTTCGTAAACTAACAACCGATCTCTCAGTTCACGAACTTGTTCATTTTTTTTTGTTATTATATTTTTCATGTTAATATATGCTGCAGTATCATTAAATTTTCTTTCCAACTCCTTAAACAAATTTTTTGATTATTTATAATTGGTGTGCTTTGTTTATATAAATATTATTTAAATACTAATACATAAATAAAACTATACATTTTAAAACATTTTCTAATCAAATTCATTTAATCAATTTTAAAATCGCACAGAATTTGTTATTCTTAAGATTTTGTACTTCACATATTATTATCACCTACCTACTAAATCACAAAACAAAATTGTCATTAAAAGTTTTCAATTCACAAGGAAAGGTTTTAGACTTACGTACGGTAATTAAGTCTAAAACATAAAGACCTTTCTATTTTCTCATAAAAGAATTTGCAAAAATAAAATTGTAAAGATATTTTGAAATATGTATTTACTCAAATATTTCACTCAGTATTATAGCCAGAAAAACTTTTTGTGTAGGAGAGGCACTTAACTTTTTTCTTTAACTTTTGTTAAGCTACACTACTTATTACCTGTTATGTTGAAACTTCCTTAATTCTTTAACATTTATTATTTATAACCCCTGTATTTTACAACATAAAGTTAAAATGGAGTATAGCCTTGTAAGAGAATTTATGAATCACTAATTTCAGAAAGGGGACATCTCCCTAAAACCAAATTTTACAGAAAGTACAAATACAGTCTAGGCAAGACTGAGAAGGAGCCAGGCATGAAAATGAATAAATCATGTTATTTTGAACCTTTTTAAAAATTAATCATCTCGATAGTTTCTAAAAATTAACATTTGTAGTCATTTGAAATTGTTAGACATGTTCCTTTTCTGCACTTAACTATTTTAACTACATTTAAAACATACATTAATAAAAATATGCTTTTTTTTGTAATGAAAAATCTTATATTTTTTTTAAGCAAATTAGAAATGTAATTATTTAATATTAAAGTTTATTATTGAAGTTGGTTACTCATATTTTGTTTCCCAAATCTGAAAATAGAATCCTTTGGAATATAAAGCTTTAGACGTTTCAAATGATTCATTTTCGAATTCATTATGGGTATCTTTTGGGTGTACAACTGCTTTTTGGGTAGTTCGATTTGCTAAATATTTTTTTACAACACAAACTCAGAATTAGATTGACTCAAAATCACATCAATAAATAATGTGATGAAAAACTGTTAGCAGGTTCTGAATAAAAACCCATAGAGTGACTATACAAAAAAAAGTGGTCACAATAATTTATTTAAGATATTTAGCCGTTGGTATGGACTAGTCCCATTTTTACACATAATATGTGTTCAAGGTAGATAAATTCAAATCCAGTAACAACGCAATTTCGTCAAAAATTAAACCCCTTTCCTAAATACTTCCTTTCAGCAAATAGTGGTTTATATTTTATACATAATATAAAACAATACATTTTATAATAATACTTATAATATTGCTACTGATAATACACTTTATTTATATAACAAATTTATGTAAACTGCAGTACAGCATTATGGAAATAAAGATTTGGAGGACACGTGCCTATCATGGCTATGGTACTGATTTCACCCAATTTTATTTTGTAAACTAATATCAATCATTTTTTTATCTACTTACCAAATTAGCTAGTGTTATCTGCGATTGTGCAATTGTTAATTCATTTTCTAATTTATTTGCAGTTATTTGGCATTCTGTATGATCATTTGGTTTTTCCTAAGTGTATACATACATTTTACACAAAACATTCTGTAATTTATGCATTTTTAATTAAGATCGGTAAGTACCTGAAAAATATTTTGAGTTTGCACTTCAGTTTCAATTAAATTTTTATGAGAATTTATTTTTTTGTCATTTTCTTCAATGAGTAATTTTAATGCTTGTTTTTCTTTATTCAATTCATTACACTAAAAAATATTCATCAATTCAAACATTTTCAATTAGGTTTATAGTCTATACTTGTAAAATATTGTTTACATTATTTTCTAAATATTTCAAATCCTTTTCCAATTTAGAATTGTGACTTTCTAGCTGCTCTAATCTCTTATGCAACATTTCTGCAAAATCATTTGTAATATGATCAGTGATCGGTAAAAGTTTTTTTCTTTCTAATGTTCGGCTCATTATATCATAACTTGATTCAATTTTTTCCATCTCTTGTAACATTTCTCTGTAAATTGAAAAGTTTATCCCCACTAATAAATAATAAAAATAGAAATATTATAGGTACTTGTTTTGCATTTCTGATATATCTGCATTGAGTCTTAAGTGCCACTTTTCAGCTTGTTGAAAAAACTGATACATCATTAAAAGATTAGTATTTGTAAATGCAGATAATTCACATTTCATTTCATTTGTTAGTACTCTTTCCAAATTGTTTAAGATATTTATCACTTCTTCTTTTGTGTATGTTTCATCTAATAAACTTTAAAAATAATTTTTACTTAATAATAATAATTTATACAATCATCATTATGTTATCAATACTCAGTTTTAAAAATGTCTTCAAATGTTTTTTTAACTACTATAAAAGACTGTTTTTTTTGGTGACGCATAAATTCTATATAACTTTCAATGACATTTTTATGATGTTCATTCACAGAAATATTTCCTTCCTGTAATACATAGTATGTAAGAAAATTAAGATTTCAAATTTGAAAAAAAAAACAAATATCAAGTGATTTACCATAACTTTTATTTTATATTATATAGTACAGTATAATATTATTTCAGTAGTTATTTTATAATAATAAATAAATAAGTTTAATTTATTTAAACACATTAAAGTTATACACAAACATTAAATTGGTTAAAAACAAAACTGTAAAAGATCATACTAATTGTTATGGCATCGTAACTAAGCAACACTTTACAGCAGTGGTTTTCAACCTTTTACAAATTATGATCCATAATTTTTTTTTATATAATGTGACTTCTTCAAACATGATTAATATAACTTGAATACATTTTTCTATTATTATATACAGTTATATAATACTTATGGTTTTAAGTTGAACAATATATAACTTAAGTTTTTATTTAAATAATTATTGGTAATAACTACAATTTACAGTATTTGTTTGATAAACATTTAAGTTATTGGTTTGAAAATAAATAATTTGTTATAATATTAGATTTTACTTAAATATTAAACATACATGTAAAAAATAAAACAATTACAGTTAATAATATTGGGTACTTTGTCATTTTGTTCGATAAGATTATGAATTTATAAGTTTTTTGTCTTGAAACAAACAAGTAAAATTTGTTACTTTATCATCCTTTAAAAATAATACACTTGATACTACCATTATATCAACAAAGATAACTTTTCATAATTTTGGTGATCTCCACCCAAACTATCACTTAAGACCACCAGGTTGAAAACCATTTCTCTACAGTGTACAGTATATACTTACATCCTGCTGCATCTATTCTGATATTAATATATCTATTGTGTAAATCATATTTTTGTATAATAGTTAATATTCTAATATTGGAAGCAGTAGCACAGCCAGGATTTTTTTGAGGGGGGTGGGGGTGTCACAAGTCGACATTAAATTTAAAAAACAAGTTTTTTAACACATTTATATTAGTTAAACCAGTGCTTGAATTGAGGGGGACACAGGGGAACGGAGTACCTCAACTAATTTTTCAGAAATGTAAGTGTATCTTTACTATTTGTTTGAAGTGGAACTTGGGATGTAGTAGAGGATACAAGGTACCATATCTGGAAAGAGCTGTATATAAGAGACTGTACCTATAAAATTATTCAGTGAAATTTCTGACCTCTACGATTACTTTTCATTGAATAAACAAAATAGAATAAAACAGAAGCAGTAAATGTAACAGTTACAAGTTTCCTCATTTTTTTTAGGGGTTCCTCATAATTAAGAATACTATAAAGAAAACCAAAAAATAACTTTATTGTACTAACCAGACAACAATTTTTACTAGGAATCATCACGTATAAAATTGATAATTGGAGCAAAATTTCTGGTAGAAAAGTTGTTCACATACAGAAAAAGAACACACGTCATCATAATAGAATCATAGTAGTAACCATCATATTAGAATCTAAAATAAATAATATTTATCATAATAGGTACTATGTAAGTAAAAGTTAGCCCGCAATAAGTAGTGTTTGTTTTTTGGAAATTATGAATTACTGAATTATGTTTGAAAATTGGTGTGGGAGGAGTGGAAGGCTTAGTCTCTCACGGTTGGGTTGAGTTCAACAATTCAAGAGACCCTAATTTTATATTAATATATTAATAATTTTATAGCCCCCCTTCTTTTTTTTGTATTAATTCGAGCACTGTTAAACACAGATATAAGGAAATGTTCAGACAACCAAAATTCCCCCTTGGTTGCACCACTAATTGTGAGTCAGATTAAAAATGATCAGTCTTGTTAGTTCACATAAACACATACGATTACTGCAGAATATGGATTTCACAGTCCATATCCTTGTTTAATAATCAAATAAATTTAAAACATTTTTGTTTGTCATGTGGTATCCGTGTTTTAAAAAGAATAGAATCCACTCGAAATTGTGTATTTAGGAGAGGTGTATACCCAAAAATCTAAAACAAATGTAAAATTAGAACACATATGGTTATTTATCAGATCTTTCATTAATTTATCAAATGGAAAAAAACACAATTACCTCTGTAAAAAAGTTTATACATTTGTGACGTTCTAAGAAATGTGTTTCATCTTCAGATAATGATACTGGACATCCTGGGCAACGGAAAGTCCACCTCGAGGTTACCTAAGTTTGAAAAATATACATATAATAATGTTATTTTAAAAACATATTTTATTAAAAACATAATTACCTTAACAGGAGGCTTGTTGGTGATATGAGACACTAAAAAATTCATTGCAATATCCTCACAGTTCATATATTGGTCTACTTTGTCTCTGATCGCCTGAGGCAACCAATAAGAATATAAATATAAATAATATTTATGCACAAATGCAGCGCCTGTTAACACCATGGATAATTCACAACTGTAGTTTGAATTATAAAGCCAACCGCCATGATTAAGATCTAGTGCATGAAAACGTCCCGGAAAACCTACAACTCTATCACGTTGTTCTCTCCAAACCCTTAATAATATACAAGTATTATTTATTTATATAAATCACTTATATATTAGAGTTACCTGAATCCAAACATAATTTCATCATGTCTTAAATGAGCATCATCATCAACTGATAAAACAGCTTCAGTTTCAATTGCTTCATAGGGCAAAAATCTATTATTAAGGCTATTTTTCACTGCCTGAATAACCTGATTAAACAAAATTCAAAAAAAGTAAATTATAAAGTTTTATAAAATAATTATCTATATACAAACATGTATAGGCACACCAATTTCAGGCCAACGTAAATCTTCGAGAGGCGGCTTAGGAGAGTTCCACACAACAAGAACTTTATTTAAATAAGGCAAACCATTTAACCTACTAAGTGAATTCATAAGTACCTTATAAATAAAAATAAATTTTAAATATTAGAAAAACCAAATTATTTTTATGTATATGTCATCATGTGTTATAAAATATTACTTGATCACGTTCATATGTGAGTACCACTATAGTGAATTGTTCTTTTGGTGAGTTTCCGCCAAGACTTTGACAAAATTCTTTTCCTGCTCCACCTGCTCCATTGTTTATAGGTCTGAAACCTTTACTAGAACCTAGGTAAAAAAAATTATTGTAAATTTTTTTATTAAGTATTATAATGTAACTAATTAAACTAATTGATATGTGTGTAAAAATTTCACTAACCGATAAATTTTGCATCTGATGGAAGCAGTGGATCAAATGGTGTATGAGGGTAAAGTTTAAATGGGTCTCCCCAATTGTTCCATAATTCATAGCCTTGAACTTTCATAATTGTATGGTTTCTTTTGAAAACTGGAGATTTAAAAGGTGGCTCCAGTGGACCTAAACTTTCTTCCGGTTCAGCATCAGGTATAATTGGATTCATTTTAATTGGCTAAAAAATAAATAAATTATAAAATCTTCCAAATATATTATATACAGCAAACTCACTTTGAAGTTTTCATTAAATATACTAGGTGATGGTGTATCTATCACAGGCAAAGGTGGTATACCAATCCTGTCGCGTATAATTGCAAGGGTTGTATCCAAAATAGCTTGAATAGTTCCAAAATATTTTTCATACAACATTTTACCTTGCCGTCTCATCAACAAAATATCATTATCAGGTATAGTTCTCAATAACCAATGAAGTTCTGTAATTCTTTCTCCAGCTACACATATAGCAGCTCTACACCAATCAATAACCTATAATATATTTTTAAAAAATTGTGTTCATAATTTAAACAATTAGTATAGTACAAATAATTTTACTTCATTAAAAGGTAATCCAATTCTATCGTATTCTAAAAATACAGGAATCGCACCAAATTTCAATGATTCAAAAATACGGATTTGCATCATTGTAGTTGATATTAAATTAACATCTAGAGGTGCTGGAACCAATGTAAAAGTTGATTGTACCATAAAAACTTTACGTTTACTTTCATCACCACATAAACCCCAATCAATTATATTGCTTTCAACTCTTTGATTATCACAATCAATTTTTATGTAAAACTGATCAACAGTGGTTACTGTGATATATTTGTGTATCAATTCAACTAAAAAATAAAAAAAATAAATTTTTTATTTATAATAACTAAATATTATATTTTCAACTTTGTGATTATTAAGTAAATTACCAAAGTTTTTGTGGTCTTCCGATGAGTTAACAGTTTTGTATCCTTCAAAGCTTAATAGATATTTTCTTCTCGCTGGTAACATGTATGGTGAATCCATCCAAATTTCTCCACCTGGAGGTCCATAACTAGCTGGTAACAAAATATCATGACCTGGACGGAAATTACTTTCATTCCAGAACGATTGAGCAAGTATGGCATGTCCAAAATTAATATTATGATCAAAATATGGTTTATCGTGCATATTTTTACTTAAATAAAATAATATATGATTTCTACCATTACCACCCCAAAATGGTAGTTGTTCTAATTGAGTTGTATTAATGGAATTATGAGTTTCACCAATTAAAGCTACATAGACACACGCACTATTTGAACTATTAGTGAAATGTGGATTATACCGTAAAACTTGAAAGACAATTTTATTTAATGATGTCGATACTAATTCAGGAAATTCTTCAGAATGATAAAAGTAAAATGGAAATCCTGATGTCAATGAGCAACGAGAATAATCGAAACAATTTTTCATATTACGACATTTAGTTAGATGGTTTGCAGACATTGGGATAAAGTTTGGAGGATTTTGTGGCAATATAATTGTTGGTGGGGCAAGGCGGGGTGAGTTTTGTATAACAGCTTCATTTTCTGCAACTTGAGCCTAAAAATAACAATGTAATTGAATTAATTTAATTAGTCAAGTTATTTAGAAGCTGAATATATTAAATTTACTTGTTTAACAGAAATTTTAAGTTTTTCTAATTCCGTTTGTTGTCGCACAAATTCTGCTTTAACATCTTCAATTTTTTGATTGTTAATAGCAAGTTCACTAAGAAGTTTCTGTCGTTTTGCTTCAATATTCCTTAGCTCATTGTTCACAGAATCTAAAAAGAATCATTCTATTATAGACAAAAGGTATATTTCAAAATTATACTATCCTCGATACTTTTTATTCTAACTAATTCGGCTATTCTATACTTCAAGTCAGTTGCTCGAAGAACACTGTAGTCTTCATATATTTCAAGTTTCGAATGTGTATTATAAGAATTTTCAAACCCATCTTTCTCTTCCTAAAATGTATGACTAAATTTATTATCGGTGTTGCATATTCTAATTGAATAATTAATATTTACCTTAGAAAGATAATAATGACCGATTAAAGGTGCAATAACTAAGAATACCAAAATTGCCAATAATAAGCGAGACTTAAATTTAATAGTAGATAAAAAAAGATACATTAAGCAGTTTTGAGCACAAAATTATTACAGTATAATAATAACAATAAGATTAATAATTCAAATTTATTACATATGATAAATTAATAAACACATATAATAATAAACATAATATATTCGGATTAACTTTAAATACCTAATATAATTTTAAAAATTTGAATTCTTTAGTTTATTATCAAATGTAATGTCTGATATCTGATGTTTAATGTGATAACAGTGTACACAGTAAACACCGGAATCTTGATTCGAAGTTAAGTGGTTGAAAAAAAACCAAAATGACTAAACTCACAATGTATTAATTATTTTTTTCATCATAACTGAATGTACGTACGTCGTACACGTACCTAAATCGATTTACTCTTAAAATTCAAACCGATGAAAAAATGAAATATTTTACTATACATAAATGTATGTACCAGTTCTAGCTCCCATTAAAAAAAAAAAAATGTTTTAATTAAACGATATCAACAAATAGTATAAAACGAAAAACCTTCCCACTTTTAATTGTTTAATTTTTATTGGCTTTCAAAACTTGTGTGTCGCTTTTAAATTATGCGTTGATAATACGGTCGTACTTTATAATGAACCCATAGAGTAGCTCTAAGGATGAACCAAATCCAAGGTCTATTTTAAGTATTGAAAAAACTTGTAAAATGAATTTCAATACAATCGGTATTAATCAGTCAAACCAATCAATATTTTTTTTTTTAATAATTCGATTGTTTTCAGATATAGGAGACGACCAATAAGTTTCTTTTCATGAACTTCTAGTAGGTATCATTTTTCAGAAATGTTTAATTCCGGAGGGGGGGGCTTCCTAAATTCCAAAAGTTCCTCACGGGGCAGTAGCGAATTTAAAGGGGAAACCGAGGAGCCTTGGTCTCCCACCATTGGTCTAAGGTAAGTTTTATTAATTCAATAGTCGTAAGTAATTTTTGTATGAAATATTGTTGTTATCACTGAATTTTGGACCATGGGACCTCCCCCAAAATTAAATCCTGGATCCATCACTGTCACGGTCAACTTAAAAATTCCGGAATTGAATTTGCATTACACTAACAATTTAAGAGCTACAAACTCCGGGATTAAACTAACATTTATTTACAATTAAAGATCTATAAATTATATTTTGGCCATGGCGATGGGGCTGTTATCTAAAACCTAATTTTTACCCTAAATGGAGGGGCTAACTTCACAGACACATTAGGGCTATTAGGGATATTCCGGTATTTTCTACATACCAAATCTGACATAGAAGTACCTATATGCAATAATTTAAATGAATTTATACCTTGACTTATAGATTTATTATCTTTTGGACAGGGAGTTGGACAGTGAGTACACACAAACAATAAATATCAACCATACATTTTTGTTATTACCAAATTTATTCGTTTATTATTTAAATACAAATACTTAGGTGCATAGGTACCTTTAAAAAATATTAAGAACAATTTATATACATTGAAATATTTTATAAAGAAATAACGGGAGCGCGTAAAAAGGCCGAAAATATTTCAGCTGTACTGTAATTTTGCCGACAAGTGTTTAATCCGATCGGCATTATAGCCGATACGTATTTAATCCGAAACGTATTTCAGGCTTCAGCCAACAGTATTTTATCCGTACCGTATTTCAGCCGACAAATCTCCCTCCACTACAACCAACGTTACGACACAACCGGCGTGCGCATTCACCACTAGGGCGCTCTGCTATACCTCATCTGCAGTCCAAACGAGCAATTCCGACGCAATTCCAACACCGACGCTACCGGTTGGTTGTAGCGGAGGGGGATTTGTCGGCTAAAATACGGTTCGGATTCAATAATAAATACGTATCGGCTGTATCTTCTTCTTCCTCAGCTCATCGGCCCATTAAGTGCCATCGCTGCCATCACAACACCTTTCCATTTCTCTCTATCGCATGCGTCATCAAAAGATGACTCTTCTACGTTTTTTATATCTTGAGCTATAACTTCCATCCATCGGGTCCTTGGTCTTCCTAATGGACGTTTTTTTATTTATTTTGTTAACTAACACTTCTTTTATTACTTGTTCATTCGCTCTCCAAACATGGCCGAACCATTCTAGTCGCTTGCTTTTTATATATGAAATAATATTTGGCCTGTTATATAACTCCTGTAGTTCTTGATTTTTGCTTCTTTCGTAAGTTTGTGATTCTGCATTAAATTTCGAGCCGTATATCTTTCTCAGTACTTTTCTTTCGAAGGTCATTAATCGTTTGCTGTCTCCTTTGGTCAGTGACCATGTTTCACTCGCGTATGTGATTATTGGTCGTAAATAGCTATGATACAGTAGTGTCTTTGAGTTATGTGACAGTAGTTTTGATTTAAGGAGTCTCCTTATGCTATAGTAGCATCGGTTGCCGCATGCTATTCGATCATTGATTTCTTCATGCATGTCGTTGTTGCTATTTATGTTAACACCTAGGTACTTAAATACCTCCACTTTCTTGAAAATATAGTCATCTACTGTTATGTGGTCTATGTTTGGGCTTCTTCTTGCTACCATTAAGTATTTCGTCTTTTCCTCATTTACACGCAGCCCTATGGTTTTACTTGCTTTCAAGAGTTTGGACGCAGTATTTATGACTTCATCTCTAGTTTCTCCCATTATTACAATGTCATCTGCGTATGTCAATATTACTCGTTCCCCACATACTTCCATTTTTCGACCGTCCCATACTTCTCTCATTGCTTTTTCTAATGCTAGATTAAACAAGGTGGGTGATAGAGCATCACGTTGTCTAAGGCCCGATTTTACCTCAAAGGTTTCAGACATTTCTTGCAGGAAACGCACTCTGCACACAGTTCTATTGTTCGTATCGGCTGTATGATCGGATTAAATATTGTCGGCTAAAATATAGCCCCTTGATTATTAGAAAATATTAATATACGAACACTGCATATACAGTTATCATAGTAATATCAATGGGCTATAATAAAATGGTTTTTCGTCATCTCATTTTATTATGCTTTCTGTATTAGTAGTTGTAGTAGTTAGGTATAGGTACTTACCAACAAAATAATGCAATTTATATTTACTTAATAATAATAGTAATAATAAAAATAACAATGAGTAAGTATTATGTACATTATTTCTTGAATTCTCTCCAAGCTTCTAGGTCTATTTTAAAGTGATCTTCACAATTCCATTTGATTGAAGAAAATCTTTATTGAATATAATAAATAAAAACAAATAACTATGTTATTATAATAATATAATTAAGACTTGAAGCGTAGTAAGGTTTTTATTTTTATATGTGTACAAAATTTCTATCAGAAATCTTGCTCTAATTTATTAAATGTAGCACCTTTTTCGAAAGGAAATGTCATCTATTTTGTACTTAATGAAATTTATTTTTGATTTTCAAAGCGATTTTCATAATAATTAGGGAAACTAGGAAAAACAGACAAATATTGACAGCGGCGTAGGCGTAACGATTTCATGATTTTACATTTTTGTAACTTATGTTTTCTATCAGAAATATTGCTTCAATAAAGAAACGACAAGAGAGTAATATTTTTGCATTTTTAATCTAATTGGTTAGTATAAATCGTTTTTTGATATTCTTTGTAGTTTTTCAATAATTGAGCAAAACCAAAAAACGTAGAAAAGCGGGATAGTTCAAGAAAATAATGATTTTATTATTTTCAATTTTGTTTTTTTGTTGTAATTCAGTTCAAAATATTCGTAGAGACTTTAAACTTGAACAGAACACCTATATTTGCTTATATGTTCTAAACGTGGTAAAATGTTTAAAATATTTGAGCTATTCATAGACATTTTCAGCGATTTTTTTTAGGCAATTTTTATTTGGTAGGTAAGTATTCTATGGATAAAATTGTTGAACTAAACAGAAATACATGAAAATTCAACATGATATTCATATTACGACATATTAATGTTTTTTAAAACATATATATATATGTAACCAAAATTCGCTTCGAGTCGTATTTTTGATTACCAATGGTATGTCGCTTATGGATATAAATAAAATAACCTAAAGTATTTTGTCTTCCCAACTTCCCATCTACAACAGTAGTATACTCGTCTCTAGCATTTTTAAATTTTTAAATACTCAAATGTTTTCTTTTTTTTATCAATTTTTTAGTTATAGAATAATTATAAAATATTTCTAGTGTTCAGTAACAATATATGCCTCTAACATAATGCATATAAATATAAATATATTGTTTTAGTAGACAATTTTTGTTTTTATTAATTTTAAAATTATTATGTAAGTTAATAAATCGTAACAGATTTAGTTTGAAAAGAAGCAATTATTTACCAGTCTATTGGTATAACTTTTTTTAATTGCCTAGTCAGGGACACGCCCTTCATTTTAAAAAGGAAGGAATGTACATACATAAAGCAAATAATAATTGAGAATAAATCGTAGAGTCTTTTCCTTCTACCTATACCGACTTCACGAAATATGGGAATTTAAAAGCCTGATCCAAAAAAACAAATTTGTATTTAATAAATTAAGCTTTTCAAGATTAAATTAGCTAGGTACTGATTACAATTAGAAGCGGATTTACACAATTGCCGTACATAGGAAAATTTTATTTTGTATTAATATATTATATTTTAGGTAGGTAGTTTCCTTCAATTGTAAAGATTAAAAATTACCTTACAAAATTTAAAAAACCTAGTGTTCTCAATAAAATAATATAAAATTAAGTTTAAAATTTCCGCCCCTAAAAATTTGCCGCTCTAGACAACTGCCTACTTTGCCTGACGCTAAATCCACCATTGGTTACAATATAGGTACTAATTACAATATAAGTTAGCATTCATAGTTGTATTTTTAAGCCAATTGGGGAAATATGTAATCCCAAACTCTCCACTGCGCACTACCCTGCTTATTGCTTACTAATTTTATATTAAAGTAAATTTTTTTTAATAGTAGTGTAAATAATAGTTTTTACAAAATTATTGTACATACTCGTGTAGACTTTTGAAAATATCTAGTGGAAGAATATTTAAACTTGTCGTAACACATATCACATGTCCTAAGTTAATTTGTTTTATAGATTTCAATTGTTCTGAAAAAAAAAAAAAAGTAGTTTGATACAATTTATCCTTATATTTAATTATTACCTATTTAAATAAAAATAAATATACCTATTATAAATATTAAAAAAGTATCACACCTACCTGGCGTAAAACTACCCGGTTGTCCTTGTACATCATAGAAAAACCTATCACCGTATTTATATCTAAAAAAACTATCGGATAATATGCATCTAGTAGTCGGTCCAACCAATGACCCTTCTTCTGGTGCCTCGAGTAATGCACCAACATGTAAGTCAATATCGTTTACTGTTGCATAAAGTGTTTTTAAAATTTGTACTGCCTAATGAATGATATTTTATGTTAGTATAAATAATGTAACTATTTACAAATAAAATAACTAATTTTGTTTTTAAGTATGTAAAATAACCTTAAAAGGAATCAGATCCAATAAGTCATCAAAAGAATTTGCACGTGGTATTCCACAAATGGGCCTGACTTGATTATATATTGGTAAACCAACATCTCGGCCACGTTGTATGTCTATGGAGAGTAAGTCTTGGCCAGTAAAGTCTGGCATATTAAAGCGAAACAGATAATTTGAAATCTATAAAATAGAGCATAATATTGTTTAGTATTATTATTAGTACAATTTAAAATTAAAATCTATACATATACATTTAGGATATGCCAAGGTTCCACAGAGATCAGATACATGCAATAAACTTTGTTCTGCTCAATTTTTTTTAAATTGCTCTTTTTTTGTAGCATTAACTAAGCCTTGCTCTAATGGTTCTATGATTCTTATTGTCTTCTTATCCTTCGTCTTCATCCCAACTATTTGGGGTGGGCCACCTTCGTCCTAAACTTATACTTTCCCCACATCATCCTCGCATACACCAGCCGTCTTTATAAAATTCAACCACCTCTTTTTCGGTCTTCCTCCCTCCTCTTTCTTCCTACGTTTATTTTCATTACTATTCTTAATACTTTCGATTCCTCTCTCTTCGTGACATGCTCAAACGATCTAAGTCTCTCACATTATCATCTACCGAATCCATGCCTCTGCATCTCTATGTACTCTAAATCAATTGATTCACCAATTATTCCGGGAAGACAAATCTAATAAACAGTTTATTTAAACTTAAGTAAATTATAGAAAACTAATGAACCATGATTAGTCAATATTTGTAATACTTAAAATATTTATAAAATGGCTATTATGGAATTTGTAAAAATAATTTATTTTTAGTTTAAAATAAAAAAAAAAAATCAAATAGTAGAATCACAACGAAAAAAATATTGAACGGAACAAAAGTTATTACATTAGGTAAATCTCAGTGGAACACACTGTATTATGTATCATAAATAATAAATATTAATTTAAAATAAAACAAAAATATTTTTATAATTTTATTTGTACCATGCGGTCATTTAATAATAAACAAATCAAACGATCATATATCTAACCAGTGGATTATAGGATGCTTGATATTCACGACCTGGAGTTTCTATAAGTCCTCTCATTAACCAGTCATCGTTTTGTCCCACAGGTAGCAAATCAGGCCTGTCCATCCAGTCTGTTAAATTAACTTGAAATGCAATTTTGTACATTTTATCTATAAAACTACGAACATGTAAAATATAATTAATACATTAGGTATGTATTATTTATTAATATAGATATTTAAAATTTCTTTGTACCTGTAAAATAAAAGTACCTGCATATTATCTATATGTTCAAGTTGTACAAACAAAGTATAGGTTAGTCTTTATAAAAAACACCTTATTAATTTGAATAAATTATTTGCCTATACTTCGTTTAATAATTCTGAGGAAAACATATGATTTAATATTTATATAATAATTATAAATGTATCTACACCTATTGGCTTGTTTATTATTACGACGGTAAATAAATTAAATGTATTGATTATAGTAATCTTCCTCAAAGTGGCGATAGCTGATTTTTAAAAAAAGTGAAAAATGATAATATACTCCTGATATTTTAAACTAAAATTAATTAGCTATAATATCATCAATTTTACTTTTTTTATAGCCCATATGTCGGACATAATATCATCAATTAATCAACATCAGAATCTATTCTGTTTTGTTATTCTATTATAATTGAGTGTATCATAAAAATGTAGGGCATCACCGTCGTTCTTCGTATTTAACTCATTATGCCAACGTTTTTTTATGACATGATAGTATAATCATAAATCGCAATACAGGAAATTTACACTTTATATGGAATGTCCGAAAAAAGTTTTATTTATGTTGCCTGCATATGGCAAAGTACGACGTTAATGGGTTAATGATCATAAGCGTTTTCGCGACAGCGACAATAGCCAATAACAATGAATATTGTGTTGTTACTTGGGCTCCGGTTATTTCACTGTTTTAGTATAAGCTCCGGTGGTTTTAAATAAATTCGTGTGTGATATTAACAAACTCGTTAAAGTGCTTAGTGCATCACTGTATCATCACTGTATCATTCTTCACACTAAATAAGTTTTACACTTTTAAATTCAAAGCTTAGTTTTAATTTTAACGAAAATACTTTTAAATATGACTAAGATTAATGATTAATGTTTTAATTTTATTAAAAATACTTTTAATTATGATTAAGTAGGCGTTAATAGTTATCATATTTTAATATAATAAAGCCCATTTAAAATGTAAGTTTCAACTCAGATATAGGGTATGCTATGTTTAAATATAATAATTATTACGATAACTATAATGTATTTAAGATGCACAACAGATAATAAGTTAAAAACATTTTGGGAGCTCTAGAAAATGTTTAATTTTCAAAGTAGGCGCTGGATGAAATAAGTTTGAGAACCTGTGAGTTATAGAAATCATTTTAATTAATTATTACAAATACTGTACTTTAGCTGTGCAGGAATTTGGCTATGAAGTATTCGAAATAAACTAGCCCCAAATTCCAATGATGTAGATGGATTAATTTGATCATTATAAATTGTTTGCGGAGTAAATAGTCCATAATACTGAGTGTATGTGTCCCCTAAAATCATTACGTTCATTTGAATAATATAATTACAATTATAATTATATTAAGCCATTAAGTAAATATATAAAACTGATTTTTAATATTTTATTATTTCTACCAACTATATAGTCAATGGTCAAATAATAGCGATTTTATCTTAAATGTATATAAAAATTAAAATTGTTTTTAAATTCTCCCTGTATCTACCTAAACAATAAAGATAAAGTTTCGCCCTATGGCCCAAGACATTAAATTTTAAGAAATGAAAATGTTTTTCTAAGTAATGTTTAGATTGGTATTAATTTTTATATGTCTAGAATTTAGAATCTGACAATTGGCAGGTGTGATAGAAGTTATAAATTATGGTCCTAATTAGAATAGATTGTAAAATTTGGCGTTCTTTAAGAGCAAAAGTAAATTATCGTAAAATTTATGAAAATATGTGTACAGTGCCTACTTATATTTAAATGTGCATACCTAAATAGTCCAAATTAAGTAAAATATAAAAATTACTTTTTTTTTTTTTTACCTAATATAATGGGCAAATAATGAGTATAAGTAATGTGCTGAATAACCGCTCCAATAATTCTTCGAGTTTCTTGATATAGCATTTCGTCAGTCCAAAATTGGTTTATGTAAAACAGCTTGGATGCTATATGGTTATGAAATCTCAAGAATAATGTTTGAAGCAGTGCAATTCCTAAATTTTGATTAACACGAACATCGCCTGTATAGGTATACAAAATTAATATAAATAAAAATATGTAGGTACATGTGATGATATATAAATTGAGTGTGACGGTACGTAGACGAAAGCGAACACTTAAAACTCAATTCTGACAAAATAAAAATTATATAGATAGTATACAGCTAAAACAGTTACTACTATATACATATAGATACACAATATTATATTCATCTTGCATAAAAAAATGTTATTTATTAAAATATCAACCAACCCGCCTGATAGCAAGTTTTAGAATTCAGTGAACTATCGCATTGTAACGTAGTTCGATTCACTTGAGGGCAAAACTCATTTGCCTGAGGTTTCTGATCACCTCCCTTATTTATAATATCAGATCGGAGTTTCCCGTTTACAAAAGACCTTAATCCGGCTGCCACGGCATCGCTGGACCCGTAAACTTGAGATCCGTCAATATATTGAGTAACTTCGACCATCTGAGAAATTAAAAAAATATTTCGATTTTAAATCAATGCCAAAAGTACCTATTGATTATAGAAACCAAATTTCAGTATACTCTCATAAAATATATTTTATTATTATATATTATTTATTACTAACATATGTAGCTGGCATCAATGGACAGCTGAAATTAGCAGATGTCAATGCGCGATTAAACGATATACACGTTCTGTTATACTTTGAATAAACGGGATCATCTTTTTTTACATCAATTACTTCACGACATTGAGGTGGTACTGTAGATAAATTTTGAGCGGTGCAACAATTTTCTATAAAAATCATTATTCTATTTTATAAACGTTGTTGCTGTCACACATATATATTTATTATACGTTTATAGGTATGACAGAACAATATTATAAAATATAATATGGGCGTTTTTTACTGTAATAATATTGCATAATCACATATTTTATAATTTTAAGCTTATAATAATTAGATTGCGGATTTATACATAATGCACTAGAAATATGTCCTATAAAATATCCAATAAACATGACAAAAATACTCAACAAATACGAAGTTAAAAAATTGTGTTTGTTACAGCGCACAATATCATTTCATTGAAATATCCAATGAATATATTATTATGCAATGAAAGTGAAAAAAATCAAAAATAAATAGTGCAAATGACTTCAGTTTTGTATGATTCGTAATGATTATTAACGAAAACCTATGAAAAGCAAATAATTATGCAGTCACATACAAATCCGCGCTCTACCAGCTATTATAATCCTCATTATATAATATAAATACCTAAATATGTGGTATTTTTAAATATAAATTACCAACAGAGTCGTCTGCTCTTAAAAGAGAAATATCGTGAGCTAAAAATTGTCCCCACTGCATAATGAATACATTTAGTTCGTCATAATCGTACCATTGGTTATTCAAAAACAATTCTGTATTAATTTTTCTAGCTCCTGGTAATGATTGTCCATTTGATTGCCGTCGAAATTGATATATACCTATGAAAAAGTTTCAATTAAATAAAAAGAAAAATATGGGCTAACATACTTTATTTCCCGATATACGTTAAATTTAATATAAAACGGACATTAATTAGCGCTGTAATTGACAAATCATTTAATTTTTTAAAACACGTATATTTTATTGTATTTAAATGAAAGTGTATATAAAACTGGATAGAAAAAAAATGCGTTAGGTTAAAATAGTTCGGGTTTATGCTATAAAAAAAAAAAAAATGGATTCTGTTAATTTATAAGCAGTGGTGGATTCAGAGTTAAATTTTTTTTTTTTGGGGGGAGGGTGACCTAAAAAAAATTACTAGTAAGCAAAATAAAAGGGAGATGATATTAGGGATGGGTGTAGCCACTGTTGCACAGTTGAAAAATTGAAAAATTAAGACACATAAACTTATTTAATTTATATTTGAAAACATCGATAACCATTACCAACTTATTCTTTGATTGGGGTATGATTTCTGATAGCAATATTGTTCACAGACAGAAAAAAAAAAAATGAAAACAAGTTATAGTACAATCAATATATTATCCACTGAGCTTTTCTTCCTTGAAAATCGTATATTATACAATAAATGCGTTAAACAATGAATTATTTGTGGAAGTAAAACTTTTGTCTAGTCTACAGTCTGGGAGAGGGCGAGGCCCCCGGGCCCCTCTGGATCACCCGTTGTTAATAACTAAAAGAAATATAAACAATATGTTTATCTAAATGTAAATAAATAAACATATTGTGTACGATATGAAAATGGTACAACTAGTTATTGCATCATTCAATTTTAATTTCAGTCCTAATTGTAGTTTTTACATTACCATCACTATACTCAGCGTTGAGTAGTCTCAGAAATGGAGTATTCGATGCTCCCCATGTTGGTTTTCTCAAGTTATTACACGACCCATTGAAAGATCTGTACTTCGCTTTTGGATTACACATAACTATTGGCGCACATCTCTTCATATAATCTTCATTCGTTGATGGGAAAATATCTGTATGTAAAAACGGCGATTGTGCCTATTTAAAATCAAAATTATTAGGGAATAATAGTAATACATCACACATGTATACAATATTATTATATTACTAGGTATCAATTAAGTGGACGTTTAGTTTAATAACGGATGCGTTTATACTTCAATGCCATCTGTAGAGTGGTAATTTTGAGTTTTGGCCGATAATTTTCGTTAGACTTCAATTAATATTAACTTAAATATTAAATTTAAATATGAACTAGCTATTTAGTCAGGTATGTACAACAAGTTTTACTTACATACGTTAGTAGTGTATTATTTATTAATACTGCGGTAATACATATTAGTAAATATATTATACTGGTATAAGTATAAAAAAAATTTAGTTGTTTTGTTTCCATCGGCTGTGTCATGTTACCTTTATTATGGATGCTGTGCGTCTGATTGTAAAGAAAAACTATAACTAGGTATATTAAGAAACTGCATGGCTGTTTTTATAGTAAATATCCCATAACCACAATAATACATATACAATATATATATATACCTGTTATTATATTTATTGTACATTAGATTCGCTCAATTGTAGTTATGTGTTGTAAAAAATAATTTCGAATTCCTTCCATTTAATTATTAAATTTATTGTAATTCCGTTATTTCATATAGAACTGTGGAAATTGAAGGAGAAAAAAATGAAATTACCTACTAATCACTTTCTACATAAAAAAAATAATTTACGTAATAATATAATAAAGGTTAACTACCTCCGATACACGCAGTATACAGATATGTATTATTATAGTTGACACCCAGTAGGTAATAATACATATTACAAACTTACATAGATGCTCGTATAATAATATTATGTGAATCATAAGATATCACTATACGAATTTGCTATCTTATAATATTAAAATAATATTAAATAGCTGAACCCAATACCTATTAATTCTAAATATATTATTATTATTTCATAAAGTACCAATAGGAGGCATTTCAGTTACATCAATTACATGTATTTCGTTTTACATTAAATTAAATAACATGTGTAAATATAAATAGGTAGGTACCTACTCAAAACTATAGTATTTAATCAATTTGATAAGTAACGAATACTAATTACCTACATTATACTTTTATTTAAAAAATTGAATTATACCTATTTACTTTTGTCTGCCATTTGGAAATATATTTTAAAGTACCTATCTATAACTAAGACCTACATTAACAATAAAACTTAAGACTTATTTGTAAATATTTGTATCATAGAAAATAAATTAAATATTCTTTACAAAACAATAAATAGCTACCTAATCAAATACTATGATAGTATGATAACATAAAAGGTACTATAGTAACTATAGTGCTTCCAAAAAAATTGTGAAATTTAATCATAAAAATGGTAGGGACAGGAGTTCAAAACCCTCGAAAAGTACATCTTTGATAATAACCTCATGCACGTACAAAATTGCACCATCCTGTCTTCATTTGGATGGTCTTTTGGGATATTCAAAACTAAAAAAAAACACACTTCTCCTCTGAAAACTTCTTGAAATTAATATACAAATACAACTCAATTTGTACCACTTCAACTGCCTATATAAAACAACTCAAAGTTAAGCTCGTTTGGTCCAGGATAAACAGCCGCTAAAATGTGTCCACAAGAACCAGGAAAAAAAAAATTATATACCAGACGTCCAGACACAACACAATGCAAAAGTCTCTACTTTCGAGGAAGCTCGAGTAAAATGCTAATGTTATGATTGGGCGGCCCGAACGTTAACAAAAATGTGACATACTTAATGAACGAACAATAGTATTGACCTGTAGAAATGTTAAATTAATTATTGCTGTTTTCTTCTTCTATTATTTTAATGGATGGCCTACTAGATAGGAGGCATTTGCACAAATTTTAGAAGAATTAAGTATAGTATTTCATTTCATAAGCATATAATTTTGTCAACGGGATTTCCTTTTATTTTTCATCGGTCGTCAAAGTCATACACCTCTGTAAGTCACTATATCTGTACGAACTACCTATCTACCTATCATTTATTGCCAGGCCTTTAAAAGCGTTTTTTGGGCTTGTAATCCTTTATTTTATTACCCTCGTTTAAAAAGAACACTTCTATAGCTATCTGTATGTGAGATACAATTTTGTTAACGGCATTTCCTTCTACCGTTCTTCGGTCAACAAAATCGAACATTTCAGGCGGTTTATTGTGCTGCAAGTCACCTACCCGTTTTCTTTTTAGCACCTGTTAGTTGACTTCACTTCATGCATTTGTGCCAATTTATTGCTTATCTAACGCCTATGTATGAATGTTTACGCCGTTTGGGAGCCACTGGAATTTCTTATCAAATATTGCCTGTGAAACACATTACCACCGATTAAATTAATCTAATCTGTGATATTACGATGTGTACTAGTTGCGTGATGACGTAGTTTACCAACTACTGGTGTTCCATAATATACTGTTCCCGCCAATTTTCATTAGACGACAATGCCATTATTTAATGTTTACATGTATGTTCCCTATAGACCTAAATATTTTAGACTTCAGTTAAAAGTTTTCAATTAAAAACAATTTAATACTAAAATAAACTTATTATTAGTTGGTTAATTAACCATGGATGTCGCAGATACTCAAACAGGAGTTAACAGGGTGCGGGATCAGTTGAAAGTCAGATCACAAAAATTGTTTCAAGATTTCCTCGAAGAGTAAGTCGTAATTATAATATTTTCATTTATTTTATGGTTTGGTGGTGATTGTAAAGATTTTACAATATGTATTTTAGATTTGTCGAAGAAGATGGTAATGAACCTAAATATTTAGAAGCAGTCATTGAGATGACAAACTCTGAACGTTTCACATTGGAGGTTAGTTTTCTCGACGTTGAAAAATTCAATCAAAATCTTGCCATCACAATTCTAGAAGAATATTATAGGTGAGACATATATTTGCGTACACATTTAACATCCAATTTTATATTTTTGTAATTGTCAATGTTTTTTTATTTTTAGGGTATATCCTGCGTTGTGCTTGGCAGTTGGTAATTTTGTTATTGATCGTACGGAAGCTACAGGAAATCACCAAGATTATTTTGTGAGCTTTGTAGATGTTACCACCAGGTTTAATGTGAGAGAGCTGACAACATCCAAAATTGGTGAGTTAGTACGTATTTCTGGTCAAGTCATCAGAACACATCCCGTTCATCCGGAACTTGTGTCTGGACATTTTACTTGTCAAGACTGTCAGACAGATGTACCTAGTGTGGAACAACAGTTCAAAGTGAGTGTTTTTATTATAAATTATTTAACTAGGTAGGCGTCTATTATATAAAATAACAACAAACATTTTTAGATATATCTGAATGGTAAAAGTAAAATTACTGGTGAAACGTGGGATTGTCTGGTGAATCCTAGGTTAAGTAGTATTATTTAATAATAATATAAACTTATAATAACTTACAATCAACATGTGATTTTGTAATAATATTTGAGCATTAAAAAGAGGAAAAACTATTATATGACAAGCAAAAAAAAATCTAAATTACAAAACTCATTTGGGTTTTGACCAAACTATTTTGTAAATTCTTACTTTTGCTGTAACATATCTATCTAAATCTAATTAAATTTGAAGTTAGATTTAAGTATTATCAGTGCTAGAAATATTCATCTACTAGTTGTTCAATTCTGTGAATTACAAAATTTAAACATATTTATGCTAAAAGAGCAAATAACATTCTAAAACTATGTTAAAGACATTGATAATCATTAATCAATTTTTAAATAACATTGATTATATTCTTAACACATGCTTTTGTTTTATTTTTAGTACACTCAACCAACCATATGTCGAAATCCAGTCTGTGCCAATAGAAAAAGGTTCACTTTAAATGTTAATAAATCCCGTTTTGTTGATTTTCAAAAAATTAGAGTACAAGAATGTCAGTCAGAACTTCCTCGGGGCAGTATACCGCGGAGGTATATTTTTTAAATAATTTTAATATGTATTATATTTTATACATAGACATAATATGGATGTTTTGTAAAAAGTTATGAAAATGTTTTTCATTACTTAAACTTAAAAATATAAAGATAAACAGATGATAAATAATCTAATTTAATTCTGTACTTATATTTCCATACTGAAATTGTTGAAATATGTTTTAAATTTATTTCAAATATTGAATACAAATGTTTGTATCAGTTTTGTTTATTATTTAATTATTTATTTATGCATTGATGTATGTTTTATTTTTTTTATTAGTCTTGAAATTATCTTAAGAAACGAAAATGTTGAAACTGTACAAGCTGGAGATAGATATGACTTTACAGGAACACTGATTGTTGTCCCTGATGTAAGTGTTATATCTACACCATCTGCAAGAGCTGAATCTGCTTCTGGGCAAAAAAGAGGAGATAATGAAGGTGTCAAAGGACTAAAATGTTTAGGAATTAGAGACTTGAATTACAAGTTGGCATTTTTAGCATGCAGTCTATCTGCAACAAATTCAAGGGTATGAAACAATATTAATATAACTCAATTTTTTTTTTTTTGTAAATTGAATTGTTTTTTTGTTAGTTTGGTGGTACTGGAGAAATACGTAATGATGAATCAATTCCTGACTTAATTGAACGCATTAAGAAACAAATGACTGGGCCACAATGGGAGAAGATGTACGAAATGAGCCGTGACCGCAATTTATACCATAATTTAATTGATAGTCTTTTTCCTACAATTCACGGAAATGATCAAATTAAAAAAGGTTATTCTTTCATATACAATTTTAAATTTGTATTCAATTTCGATTTTAATTTGTAGGTGTGTTATTAATGCTTTTTGGAGGAGTGCCTAAAACAACTTTAGAAGGAACTACTCTTCGTGGGGATATTAATTGTTGTATAGTCGGTGATCCAAGTACTGCTAAATCACAGTTACTGAAACAAGTTGCTGATATGTGCCCTCGTGCCATTTATACTTCTGGCAAAGCTTCTAGTGCTGCTGGTCTTACAGCTGCTGTTGTTAGGGACGAAGAATCTTTTGATTTCGTAATCGAAGCTGGAGCACTTATGTTAGCGGATAATGGTGTGTGTTGTATAGATGAGTTTGATAAAATGGATTTACGTGATCAAGTAGCTATCCATGAGGCAATGGAACAACAGACAATATCAATAGCAAAAGTAATATATTTAATATTTGTTTATTGGATTTTGGTTTTATAGCATTATAATATATTCTATTGTGGTTCTACATTTTCATCTATGTAATTTTAGGCTGGCGTTAGAGCAACACTAAACGCTAGAACATCAATATTAGCAGCAGCCAATCCTATTAACGGTCGGTATGATCGTAGTAGGTCTTTACAACAAAATGTATCTCTCTCAGCTCCAATTATGTCACGTTTTGATTTGTTTTATGTACTTATCGATGAATGTAGTCAAGTAAGTGAAGAAAATTGTAAATTTTTTTTTTCATTTTAATTAGTGTTGAATATTTACAGGTTGTTGATTATTCAATAGCAAAAAAAATTGTTGAAATTCACAGTAATATGGAAGATACAATTGAAACATTATATAGCCAAGATGATATTTTGTCATATATTAGTTTTGCTCGAAAATTCAAACCTCAACTCACAGTTGTAAGTAAAAATCAAATATATAGTTACTCATATAATGTTTATTTTTATTGTGAACCAATTTAAGGAAGCATCTGAAAAATTAGTAACTGCTTATACTCAATTAAGACAACGTGATAGCCAATCTAGTACAAAATCAACTTGGCGTATAACAGTACGACAATTGGAGTCATTGATACGTTTATCTGAAGCTATGGCCAAAATGGAATGTTCAGATAATGTGAGGATTATTTAAATTATTTTTCAATATATTACAGATATTAGATAATAAGAAAACAAATAGATATATAAATTAAAACCTGTATAATTAAATTAGGTGACACCAAAACACGTTTCTGAGGCATATAGTTTACTTAATAAATCTATAATTAGAGTTGAACAGCCTGATGTCAATCTGGATGATGATGAAGATAATAATTTATTGAATGATATACCTGAGTCTGGTAGTAATTTTAATTGTTTTCTTATGAGCTCTGAAGTTAGGTAATAGATATTAACAATTACTTGTTATTTAGGAATGGATGTTGATTTTGTTGATCAACCTGGAAAAGAACAAGGTTTATCTAAGAAGAAATATACTCTATCTTTCGAGGAGTATAAGCGTATTACAAATATGCTTGTTGTTTATATGAGAAGTGAAGAAGAGAAGCGGATTGCTGGTATGTTTTTTGTTTTTTTTTCCTATCGTGCAAAAATATAACTCATTTACTTTGTTATGTTTTAGAAACATCAGAGTCTGAAAATGGTGGCTTATTACGTAGTGAAATAATCAACTGGTATTTGGAGAAAATCGAAGATCAAATTAATGATGAATCTGAGCTGCTTGAAAAGAAAAGTTTTATTGAGAAAATTTTGGATCGATTAATTTATAATGTAAGGATATTAATGCATTAGTTATTTGTAAATGCATAATTTATATGATATTCTGTTCATTATTTAATAGGACAATGTATTGATTGCTTTATTGCAACAACCAAAGTCCTCACAGACAGAAAACGTAGGTGAAGAAGAAGATGCTGAAGATGATAATCCTGTTTTAGTAGTTCATCCTAATTTTGTTTCAGAAATTTAGTTAATTTGATTGTAATGCCATTAAAAGTTTAATACTTATGTATATAATTTTAAGCTTCTTTTAAATACATATATTTCTATAGTAATGCTATCTTACAAGAAATAATAATTATAAGAACTAATTGACACAGTGTATGTGATTGTATGTCATTTATATGTTATTTTAAAGTATGTTTTTTTTTTTGTATTCAATTAAAATGTTTAAATAAAATCAACAAAATAAAAATGAACATTTATCAAAAGAATATTGCCATTTATAATAATAATTAAAACTTAAATATGCAGTTATTTTAAGATGAATTGTACAAAGATTGTTAATGATAAAATATAATTTTGTATTTATTTTATAGGTACAAAATGTTTATCATTTAGCCCCGGTCTCACCAACTTATACTTTGATTTTTAAACAGAGTTTATAAGATGATTGATCGATTGTGGTTGATTATCAGCCTTAAATTCAGGTTAGGATACAGATAAATTACTATTTTTATGTTGATGAGAACGGCCCATAGTGTAATAGGTATGTTTTAAAATATAAATCAAATGGAAAAAAAAAATGTTGTAGTTTATGCTGGGTTTGATTGGTCTATATTTTAAAATGATGTGTAATTTTAAATCTAATTTATTTCATGGATCTCGAAATAATTTTTAAATAATAAATAAATGATACATACTGTAATATTCATTATTTTAGATTGAATATGCAATAAGAAATAATATAGTTTATAAAGTGAGCAATGTTCTAATTGCATAAAAATTCATGAATACAATATTATAAGAGTTTAAAAACAAATAATATTAATAGTCTATTTTAGATTTTGAGTGAAGCGAAGAAGCTTATAATGTTACATATGTTTATTTTTTATCTGTAAACAACTTTTCTACCAGACTTGCTCGGATTTCTATGTGTAGCACCTTTTCTGAAAGAAAATCGGCGTAGGGAGGTACTTTTGGGAAATCATTTTTTGATTTTCTCAATAGTTTACTCATCAAATGTAAAAAACCGAAAACAAACGAGAAAATGTTCATAATATATTACTAAAATATTAAGATTTCTTTTTTCTGAGTACAACTTTTCTACCAGCAATTTAGCTCCAATTTTTAATGATAGCTTTGTTTCTAAAAATTAATTTTACTAGGGAGGTACTTTAAAAAGGTTGTTTTTCGATTTTCTCAAAAAATTTAAAACATGGGAAAACAAAGCATATTTGTCAACTGAACTCTGCTCAGAATCGTTTTTCGTAAGTAACGGTTTATTGTTGCTTACATGTATACATTAAATTACCTATAACAGTGGCTGCACTCACCTCCATTATCCTAGAACGTCTTCTTTTTTATTTGTCAGCACATGGGTAGTACAATATGTAGATTGTAGGTATTTGTAGAATCATGCTTATTTTCTGTAACCCACCAGATTGTGGAAATCAATATTTTTTGAATATAAATATTATTCGTTAAATCCAGTTTTGAATATATTTAATCAACAAATACCTCAAACTGGTTTAGTTATTTACAACTTGTTGGATATTTATCTTCAATATGGTACTACAAGAAAGCACATTAAAAATGGATATACGTTTGACAATTTTTAATTGACGATGTTAAACCTCAGGTTTTTGGAAATAAATTGTTATCTAATTACAATTATCCATATTCGGTATTTATATGTTGTAGATTTTGATTAAATTTTAGGAAACTAAGAAAAAATTGATAATTAATAGAAAGTATGTCCGTAATACTCTAATTTTTTCCTTTGTCAATTCTTTATGCCTTATATATACAAAATTCAGAATAAATGATAAAAAAAATAAATTTAAATGGGAAACTTTACATCTTTACAGTGGGACAAATGAATTGCCCTATTAAATTCAAATAGGGTTCAATACTTCTATTTTTCAAAAAAAGTTGGAGGGCTTTGGAAATAATTCCGCTATCACTTATCACCTAACTACTCTCTATTCAGTCTACTCCAATAGTCCAGTACCCCATAAACCGCATAATATTATTTTATATCTATCATCTATCACGTCTGATACCATGTCTCTATCACGGTCTTGGATTATATTTAAAAGTATCAAGATAGTAATGTATTATCAAGATTATAATGTATTTTAACTACCTTGGCCTCTATTTAAAAGTTATCATAATGTTGTTATCAATTAATTGCATTATCTAAAATTGATAACGAAAAAAGATTTGCACGAATCTCTTAAACCATCTGAATCTTTTTAACATTTTTCGCTAAAAAGAAGTGTAAAATTTATTTGTTTTTCAACACATTTCTATTAAATTAATAGAATGTCATTTATCATAAATGCTTTCCAAAGATGTAAAGCCCTGTGTAGGTTTCAAACACCAACAAATGAAACATGTGTAAGTATTTATGTATAATATAACGGGTACTTGTTGATAATCTAATTACATATAAAATAACAATTATTTTCATTTGAATTATTTTAGTTTGGCGTTCTTCCTGTTAATCAACAAATTCGTAACAAATGGCCAGATTTTAGAATGAAAAAAGATGCACGTAAAAGAAATACTATTAAAGAATATGGTATATACAAGTTGCGCTATAATGCACTTCGTAAAAATAACATCATTCCTTTGGAAATTCAAGTACTTATATAATTAAAAATAATGTATACCTAGTTTAATTTATTCTTTGTTTTTATTCAGGAAATTGCTGACAAAGAAATCCACAATTGCCCTAGGGATGCTAGTATAACTAGAATTGTACAGCGGTGTCAAATTACATCTCGCCCTCGTGGTAATGTCAAAAGATGGCGTTTGAGCAGAATCATGTTTAGACATCTTTCCGATTATAATAAAATGGCAGGGGTACAAAGAGCAATGTGGTAAGTACATTTATTTTATCCTTATAAATATACCTTATTACAAAACATTTTTTTTTAGGTAAATTCTAAATAAAAGTTTAAGAGATTACACCAATAAAAATGATTGCAGATTTGTAGTTGAACTATTTATATAATTTTGTAAACTAGTGTTATTTAAACTATATGTATGTATTTATTTAATTGTGTCAAAGAGTATAAATATAATAAATATATGCCTCAGTGTCTGAAGTTATATTATTTAATATAGTTAGCAACATTTCTTGAATACATTTCATTAATGAGTAAATTATGTTTTTAAATTGTATTTTGAATGTAAATTAATTTTCTAATTAAATTTAATAATGCATATTAATTTATAAAGTAATGTGTTTTTAGTAAATATTTTTAAAATATTTAACTAATTATCAAAAGTAAAATTGTAGTTACAATTTAAAATGTTAAATGAGAATACAATATACTGAATAGTATATCATACAATTTAATATTTCAACATATTTATACAAAATTTTTTATTTTCATTTAATTTTATAGTTTTATAATACCGGTGTAAAAACAAATTATTTATATCCTATTTTTTTAGGGTTCTTCACTATAGAGCAGTGTTTCTCAATTGGGGTTGGTCGCCAACTAATTATTTAGGGTCGACAAAAATATAAAATATATATTTAAGGGTCGTTAAAATATTAAATATTCATTTATGGAGTCATGACAGTAAAAAGGTTGATAAACTCTGCCGTAGAATTTAACAGGCCCTAATTTTAGGAAATATTTTAAGTACTTACCTATTATAAAAAAGTAGACAATTTAAAAAATATTTGTTGTAAAACAAGAGTAAGTATGTAAAAATCTGATCACTCCTACCTGAAAAACTGCTCAGAACTTTACAACAGAGTCAATACAGTGCAATGCTGCTATAGTAGCATATTTTGGGAGAAAATTCAACAAAAACTAAACAAAATATAAATTACACTTATAGACTATAGATATATCTATAGTAGCGTTAAGTACCTGTAGGTTTTTTCTAAACCCTAGCCCCTTTCCCCATTCCCCTTTCAACAATTATACATCCTGTCCCAAAACCAAGCTCAAATTACGCTACTGCTGCTGATGGGTATGCCACTGATATAGGTGGGAAGTTGAGAAGTAGAATACATAAAATTATTTAATTTATATCTAAGCAACAATAAACCATTGCTTAATGAAAAATGATTATAAATTATAATGGATATCCTGTACAAATTGTCTGTTTTGTCAAATAATTAATATATCCACATAGTAGTCATAGTTAATAGATCCTATCAAACAAAAACTGTATTAAAACTCTCAAATATAAAATGTCTATAAATAGTTTTAAAAAAATTGGTTTTTTAGGTTTTTATTAGGTTATATGTGGTTAAAATTGTTTTGGTAAATTGCAATAAGGAATATTGGAAAAAATAGTTCAACAAAATGAAGTAATTTTTTTATAACAGCTTCAAGTTCAAATTTTAATGAAGATGCAATTTGATAAAAATGCAAAATATATACCGTCCCTTCAGTGGTGGATTCAGGGATTGTTTAAGGTGGGTTGTATTTTATTAAAAAAATAAATGTCTACGGGGCATAGCCTAAGTCTTAGGCCTTAAGACACTTACTATCTCGGAAAGTATTAACTATTTTCATTTACATCATTTTGTGTGGCAGCATGATGCATTTGAATTTTTTTAATAAAGAGGTGTATTACTAAAACTAAAACATTGCGGTTATATGGTTCTAAAAATCTTAAAACAGACAACTTTGAACAATTATTTTGGTAAAATCTTAATGAATTTAAAACAGTGGATACAATTTTCCATACAGATATTATACGGCAATAGCGTAAATCGGGCTTAATTGCTGAGATTACAAATAATTTATAAGGCTAATTTGTAATAACTAGTAGGGAGCTTCATCACCACCTAGCAAGTCCTCTAACCATAAACATCTTATATTCTGAATATGATATTAAAAAGCTGTCCTTGGACAATAGGGACGGGTGCAGCCACTGTTATAGGTAATTTAATGTATATCTGTTAGTAACGATTAATCATTGCTAACGAAAAAACGATTCTGAGTGGAGTTAAGTTAATAGTGTAGTTGCTTTGTCAACAATATATATGTCATATGATTGTAAAATAATTACATATGCAATATATACTTTCTTTAAAAATATTTGTTCAATATTGTACCTATTTTTCCGTTTTCCTACTGTTTTCTCGTGGTTTTTCATGGATTTTCCATTTATTGGGAAAACTAGTGAGAAAATCAAAAAAATGATCTCTCTAAGTACCTTTTCACATCGATTTCCTTTCAGTAACTAAAAGGTTCTACACTTAAAAATTGGAGAAAGATTTCTGGTAGAAAAGTTGCGCACAGATAAAAAAAAAATAAACATCTTTGTAAAACCATAAGCTTCTTTCGATCCACTTAGAATCTAAAATATAATTAATCTCAACAATATTATTTTAACCACTTAAGTACATTATATTTAAGTATCTATCAGTAAAGGTGGGCCATTAACTAATTAAAAAGTTAATTTTTTAAAACTTTTTAACTTTACTAGTAAATTATTTTTATCGTTAACCTATTAACTTAACTAGTTTAAGTTTTTATTGGATAGACTTAACTTTTTACAGTTAATTTGTAGAAACATTTTCAGTTAAATTAAGGAGTTAAAAGCAAATAGTTATTTTTTTTTTGAAATTTGAGATTTAATTTTAAATGACTATTCTCAGTACTACGATGTAGGCCGGACGCACGCCAAAGTATAGTGCGAAATAGGTGGCACAAGTCATTACAGCAGGTATCTAGTGAAACATGGCCGTTGTTTTCACTGCATTTATGTGTGCCCGACCTTATGTGTAACTACAGGTATCATATAATACATAATACAAAAAAGGAGAGGGGAAAGGTAAATGACAGACAAAATGTTTGAAATGACCTTATTATTAAAATATAATAAATATTTCAATTTTATTTAGTACATTACGTTAAATAAAATTATCAAAGGATTTATTTTGTATAATTGATAATTAATTAGATAATGTAAACTGTATAGTTATTAATTACAATATAATTTTAGCGATAATAATATATTGTTTGAAATATTCTGCCTATATAATTACTGTACACAATATTATATTATTAGGAGATACATAATTGTATAACAATATATAAAAAGGTTAATAGTGAATCTATTAGATCCTTAATGTTGAATACTTTCACAATGTTTATTTCGAATAGCAAAAAATGAAAATTTAAAATGAACATTTTTTTAACTGAGTTCAGTTAAGGGAATTAATATTTTTTTTTTGGCATTTTTACTTTTATCTATTATTATTTTCATTAAATTGTCCACCTTTGTCTATTAGTAGTTAGTACATGTTATAAATATCATATACTATACTTAAAAATAAGCACATACAGTCATAACTAGGGCTCTGAAGTTGTAGGATTTGCATGTTTTTTTTTTTGTATATTCTTCATATTTATAGCAGACCAAGCAATAAATTTGTTTCATGCACATGCAAGATAAAATGTGATTTTTTTTTACATATTTTTATTGTTTTCAATCACAAATTTATGTATTTGGTTGTTTTGTGAATATTTCATACATTTTAGAGAAAAAAAAAATATTTTCTTACAATTTTTTTTTCCATGTTTATCAATAAACACATTATTGTTCTTAAATTATTATCATCGTCTAATATCAGTAATACCGATATTGTTTTCTCCTTCGCCTTCATCCCAACTATTTGGGTCAGTTACTCTCGTTCTAAACTTCAACTTGACACAATATGCCACCTCATATACGAGTACACCAGCTGTTCTCATATCATTCTCAATCGCATCCAATCACTTTTTTTCAGTCTTATTGCTTCAAATTAATCTCTCCCCATGACATGCCCAAACCATCTCAGTCTGTTTTCCCTAATTTTCTCTATTATCGAAGCCACACCTAAGCAACCTCTTATGTATTCATTTCTTATCGTATCTAATTTATTACTCCCCTTAATCCTATGTTTCATATCCTTATTAAAACCATCATTATTTTGTACATTAGATCAGCTAGGTACCTAAAATTCTTAACCTCATCTGTTACTGCTTATTATCGTTTGTTGTATTGTCCTGTTCTTCAAAAACGTATTAACTCTATTTTACTTCTACTTATCCTTCGTCCCTTTTCTTCTATTGTTATTCTTTATTACTCAACCTCATTGTTAACTTATTCCTGACATTATATTTTATTACATTTTTACCTGCCAAAACTATATCATCTGCAAACATCAACACCATGGTGTTTTCTCTCACCTGTTGTTCGCTAAACCCGTAGCATCATATATCTGCCCGGGGTAAATATCCGATATAATAATACTAAACGTTCAGTGTTCTTGGAATTTCTCGATAATTTTACTTTTGTGTTTATTTTACGCAAATTTAATAAAACGATATCACGATAAATTTAGATTATCACGTCAAAGAATTTAATCGTCAATAATATTATGATAATTACAATTTGGGTGTTCAGCCTCCTAGGCCTCATTCTGTGGCCTCGCCTCTTCTGCCAAGAGGAGCTGCGCACGCATATATGCGTTCAACTGAATTTTTCTCAGAATCATATTTCGTTAGCATTGGTTGCTGAAGTATATAAATTAAATAACTTTATTAGCATTAAAGTATTCTATCTCCCCAACTGCCCACCTACAACAGGGGCACACCCATCTGTAGTATCGAATTGTGTTTGTTTATTGTGTCTATAAAAGCGCAAGGTCTCTAAAAGAGACTCGTCCGTGGGGTCTCGTTCACCTCACGCTAGGGGTGGCCCCGACCGATAAAAAACCGATATTTATTATTTCGCGATTCGCTTCAGTGTCTTTTGTATTGGACTACCGCTAACAGCATAATGTTGTCGCTGCTGCCGAATGCAAATTTGCTTTGTCGTACGTTTATGAAACGAAACAGCGCATGCGGCTACAAAACCATGCCGTCCTCTTAAATGAAAATAAACGAGCGGGCTACGGCACGTACACAGGCCGAGTAGGTGGAAGATCAAAGATTCGCCGGAACGGAAACCCGAAGTCGAACGACCGCGGAGCAAACCGAAAAAAAGACGGACGGACTAAACCGACGTCTCGGGAC